TCCCTCCCTCTTCCTTCCTTTCCTCTCATCTATCTATCTATCTATCTATCTATCTATCTATCTATCTATCTATCATCTATCTATTTTAGTTTCCATTGTGTTTTATCCTCTTTTTAAAGAATCCTTAATCATTGCTATGCATCAAAATTGCATGGACATAATGCATTAAATAAAATAATCTGTCTGAGTGACAGGGCACTGTTGAGGTTAGGGTAGGAAATAGTGACTATTTGCATTATTTGGGGTAATTTCACCTGCATCTCTACACAGATACACAGATACTCAATTAGGGATATCTACCGTAGATCCGTCTAGAAAGAGTGAATTAACCATCAACCCTAACAAAATTATTTGACTCTCTGCCACTACGGATTCCCAGCTCGTTCCCTTCACCAAACTCCAGAAGACCCAAAATCAAATTTGAACCGAGTCAGCCAGTTTTAACTCTGCAGCTTTTTTTTCCAAATGGAAAGAAAAAAAATGACAACGTTAAAAGGTTTTTTTTGTTTTTTTTTAAAGGAGTCTCTTTTCTCAGTGCAAAGAACGGGGATGAAAAAAATTTAATTTCCTCTTCTTGTCAGCTGGAGTTGCCAAGGTAGTTTTACACACACACAAACACACACACACAAGCACACACTCCATTCCCTGTGGTGAGCAACTGCATTTTTTAAAATAATAATAAAAAAAATGAATTTGACTCTATTGGTCCAAAGCAGCCAATAAAAAAGATGAATCCATCTTGAAAGCAGAACTAGATAAATGCTACCTATCGGAGAATGTCTTTTAATGATTTCCTGCCGGTAACACAGCGAGAACTCTGGCCGGGGGGAGCGAAAACAACTCAACTCATCTGTTGAGCGAAGACCCATCTTCAAACCGGCTGATCTTATTTATTTATACATTCTTGGGGAACAGTAGATACCTCAAAATAAAACAGCCGTTCAGCTGGATTTCCTAAGCAAGAATTTTCTTCCCGCAAGCTCATTTGTATTGGTTACGTAGAGCAATTTTGGCTCTTTAGTGTATTATTCCAGACTTCTAAATCCCTTAGTCATTACTGTGGTTCGATACACGTTCGTAAGATTTGTCTCTCATCCCCCACCCATCCCCCAAAAAAGCAATTAAAGGAAGACCCTTTGGCCCATAAATCTTAGAGCAAGCATGATTCATTTTTTCATTCACGGTAATACTGGTTTTTTTTTCATGCTTGCAAACAAAACCATTCTGGAGTTCTGGCTTTTTAAAAACAACAACAACAACAAAACTTGTTTTATGTTGGTTCAATAAAACCCCACTATTTTGGCTTGATTCATCTGGGCTACTCTTGGTCTTGCGTGTTTGAATATTGGTTGGAATATGCTAATGAAGAGAAGGATTATGGGGGACGTATAGCAGCCTAAGAGATGCGGTGGCTCAGTGGCTAATGAATGGAATAGAATAGAATAATGACAAAAATAATAATGGAATGGAATAGAATATGGAACACAGTGGTTCAGTGGCTAAGACGCTGAGCTTGTTGANCTTCAAATGGTCACTCATGCCCTCGTCACCTCAAGGCTTGACTACTGCAACGCACTCTACATGGGGCTGCCCTTGAAGAGTGTTCGGAGACTGCAGTTGGTGCAGAATGCAGCCGTGCGAGCGAAGCGATATCAGGGATTCAAACCTCTGAACTGCCAACCTTTCTGATCAACAAGCTCGTGTCATAGCCACTGAGCCACCATGCCCCCCTATTGGTTGTCCCATTAGTTAGTTGTACCCCACCTTTATTATTTTTACAAATTGATCAACACAGAAAACATATCCAACACAAATTCCTCTTTATTTTCCCAACAACAAATGTGGGCTACATTAGGAGAGAGAGAGAGACTGGCCCAAGGTTGGCTTTGGACTAGAACTCACCATCTCCTGGTGATTGGCCCAAAGTCACCCAGCTGGCTTTGGTGTCTAAAACAGGACTAGAACTCCTAGTCTCCTGGTTTGTAGGCCAGCACCTTAACCACTAGACGAGACAGGCTCTCTAAGATGCCTCCAGTAGGACACGTTTCCTTTTATTACCTTGTCTTGATAAAAATTCCGCTTTCATTTCAACGTCAAACCTTTGTCTTCCTGCTTCCCGTTTGGCTACAGCGCCTATTCCCCCCCCCCTCCATTAATTTTTTCCCCCTTTCCACTCCGGTTCACTGCGAGATTGGAAAGCGAACTGGTGTGGAAGAGAAGATTGTGGAAAGGTACATAATCTAAACATGTATTTTTTTTATTTTTCTCTCCCTCCTTTTTCTGGCTGCTGATGCCTCCCTGCTTAGTGGAGGCTTCAGGCAGTCCACTTGTCAATTTTTATTTGCGTCAAGTTTCATCCCAAATGAGTTGTTGGAAGTGCCAGAGGGAGCTGCCAGGACATTACACATCTGGAGAAAACTCAAATTCTCTCTTTCTGAGCTTAGTCCTGGTTGTCGGGGGGCAGGTAGGTTGGTGGGAAGCAGGAGAAAGGTTTTTTGGGGAAAGGGGAAAACAACAAATAAAAGAGCAAAGTTTTAAGTCCTCAAATTAGAGCGTTAGAACTAATTCCTCTGACCTGAATGTTGGCATGGTAGATATTTGGTTTTTTTTAAAACAAATGCTTTATTTTGGCATCCTACCCTGAGCAAACAACTTCTTTCCAACGCCAACAATTTTATTTCCACAATCTGGAGCTTGTTTTCCTAGCATGGAATCCACTTGTGTGTTGCCATCTTTACTTTATTTTATTTTTCCCCGCTGCTGTAGGCTGATCCAACCTTCGCAAAAGAAGTTGAGGAGAAGGTGAACAGGTAGGTTGCTCCAAGATGATAAGGAGATTATTAGTATTTTTCTCTCCCGAAGGAAACCTCTGTTTATTTTCCTGAATTTCTTACCCCAACTTTCTCTAATCTCCTCTCCTCCAGAGGTTTAGAAGTACAACCTTGAGGGCCTCAGGATTTTCATGCTATGATCCTTCTTCCCTCCTTCCCTCCCTCCCTTCCTTCCTTCCTCTCCTCCCTCTCCCTTTCTTTCTCCCTCTCCTTTCTTCCTCTCTTCCTTCCTTTGTGCCTCCCATCTTTCTCCTCCCTGCCTCTTCTCTCCCTCTTCTTCTCTCTCCTCCCTCTCCCTTTCTTTCCCCATCTCCTCTCTTCCTACTTCCTTCCTTCCACCTTCTGCCCTCCTTCCCATCTTCCCTTCCTTTCCTCCCATCATTCGTTCAACCCATCCTTCCTCCCTCCCATCTTCTTCCTTCCCTCCCTCCCATTTTCCTTCCTTTTTTCCAACCCATCTTGTCTGTCTCCCATCTTTCTCCTTCCTTCCTCCCTTTCGTCCCGTCCTCCCTCCCTCCGTCCCATCTCCTCCCTTCCTTCTTCCTTCCTTCTTTCTTTCCTTTCCCACCCATCTCCCTATCCAAAGCAATTCTGGGCAGCTTACTATGATTTAAGTTGTCATTTTGAGCAACCAAAAAACCCACTTTGGCTGCCCAGGCGCTTGGCGTTTGAGAGAGAGGCCTTGTGGCATCACATCCATTAGAGATTTCCCAGCTCTGAAGTGATGAAAATTTCTCAGCTCTGACAGAATTGCACCTGAAGGGGAAACACGTCTTCTGCCCAAGAAGCATCCCTGGCCTGCTAGCCTATTCACCCTATACACGGAACCTGCTTTGATGTTGGGAGAGCAGAAAGCCTTACAGACGGGGATCCTTAGTTTTGTTCTGACCCAGCCATCCTTAAAAAGCAAGAAGCAGAGTCTGGATCCCTGCAAAGCCCCTTTTATTTACACGACTGTGAATTCCTTTCATTCACAGTCCACCAGGCTTGGCAAACAGTCTTTCAGAGGAATGTTTATCCACACGCACCTTATCTCATTTGGAGCACTGCCAGATAACTAGTTTCCAACTGCAGGGCAAGGCAACACTTGTCTCTTATAGTCACAAAAAGAACTTTCCGCTCTTGAACTGACCAAAGGAACAAACTCCAGCAGGTCACAGCAAGTTTCAGATTTAGCTCAGTCAAGAATGTCCATCGATTTGACTCTGGGGTTACGAAGAAGTCAGAGTCAGAAAGAACAGCGTTTAGACTCCTGCGCAATTGGGCAGCGCAAGGAAGCATGATTAAAATGTAATATTCCCCCTGCCTCCAGGAATCGGGAATCGCATTGCAACGTATCTAGAAGATGGCAGGCTAGGTCTCTCTTTTTTTAAAGTTTTTTTTTTTAATTTTTAGTCCCAGACACACATTTACAAGTATACATTCTCCTAGTTATTTTTCTAATCACATTTTAATACTTTTAAACATTCATTTTTCATATATATATGATCGGGATTGCTTTGCTTACCATCCCATACACCTATTTTGTTTTACCNCAGAAAGAGAGAGAAAGAGAAGAAGAGAGAGGGAAAGAGGAGAGAAAAGGAGAAAGAGAAGAAGAAAGAAAGAGAGAGAAAATGAAAGAGAAGGAGAGAAAGGGAGAAGAGAGAGAGACAAAGAGGAAGAGAAAGAAGAGAGAGAGAGAAAGAGGGGCAAAAAGAAGAAAGATAAGGAGAGAGAAAGAGGAGGGAAAGAGAGAGAAGAGAGAGAAAGAGAAACAGGAGAGAAAGAAAAGGAGAAAAAGAAGGAGAGAGAGAGAAAAGGAGAGAGAAAGAGAGAGGAGAGAGAGAAAGAGAAGGAGAGAAAGAGAGAGAAGACAGACAGACAGACAGAGACTTTGGTCTCTTTCCTTCTTTTCCTCCATTCTTTCATCAGCCAGAAGAAGTGGAAGAAATAACACCACCAATAAAGGAGAATATTTGTATCTCTGAGTTGTACTGAACCATGAGGGGCCCTTCGTGCTCTTTGAGCTTGCTTGTTCGCCTGCAGATGTTCATGACCCAACCTAGTTACATCACAAGTGCTACAAGGGAGTGGGTGGGGTTTATGGATTAGAGGAGGAGGAAGAGGAGGACAAGGGGACGAAGCGGAGGAGGACTGTGAGGTCTGTGGTGCTCTCTGAGCTTGGTTGTTTTCTTGCCAACATTTCATTACCCAACTAGGGAACACTACCAATGTTGCGGTTGATGCAATGATGAGGTTACCTAGTTGGATCATCAAGAAACCACTAATCTCAGAGAACACCAAGGATCCAACAAGTTGAACTGTTATTTTGGGTTTTGGTAAACCATGTTGGGCAAATCTGGTAGACCATGAGCCTGGCATCTGCTTCCTAATCTGGGGTACCCTTGAAAACAGGGTAGAGATATTTCTAAGGAACTTTTGAGAAGTACTGCTGTTATTAGTCATAGAACTATACTAATAATGGCCCACAACGTACCCTTCCTTTTCAGGAATTTGTCCAGCTGGCCAAAACTTTGATGAAAGACCCAGTTTTGTACAGAGAGATTGTAAGAAAGGCCCATGAATATGTCCTGAAATACCATTCATGGGAGAAAGAAAGGAAGGTCTATCAGAACCTTGTTTTGAGACTTCATGAATGTTCTTGTACCAATCAACCATGAGTGGTCAACCAGGTTTTTTTCAATCTTAATGCTCTGATTTGTCTTCATTAATGTTATTACCGTTGGGATTTTGTAGGGTTTTGTACCAGTAGTAGACTTCTACAGCCTGGCAGCCCTCCAGGAGCATAGGATTTATGTTCCCATAATCCCCTACCAGTCATTACCAAAGGACTATAGGAACTGAACTCAAACACATTACAGAACCCCAAGATGAAAAAAGAAATCCTAAATATGCAATCAATCTACCATTTATTGTTGACTGGAAACAGATTTTTATAGATTTTTTTGCATGAAGCATAAGAAATTGAATTTATGATTTGTGGTTGGGATGATCAGAAGGAATAGATTATAGTTATGCTGTAGCTCGTAGAGCAATGTGTAAATTTAGAATTGTTTTTATAACTGATGTAATAAAGAAAATTGGAAATTATTTCTATATATTTTTGTTCTCTTTGCTTTTCCACTTTTGTTTCTTTGATCCTTCCTTCCTTCCTTCCTTCCTTCCTTCCTTCCTTCCTTCCTTCCTTCCTTTCCTACAGTTATGTTATAGCCCACAGAGCAAGGGGTAAATTTAGAATTGTTCTTATAGCTGATGTAATATAAAGAATCGGAAATTATTTCTATATATTTTCTTTCTCGCTTTGTTTTTCCATTTTTATTTTTTTCCTTTGATTTTTTTCCTTCCTTCCCTCCTCCTTCCTTTCCTCCCTCCTTCCTTCCCTCTTCCTTCCTTCCCTCCTCCCTTCTTCCTTCTCCCTTCTTCCCTCCCTCTTCCTTCCTTTCCTCTCATCTATCTATCTATCTATCTATCTATCTATCTATCTATCTATCTATCTATCTATCTATCTATCTATCTATC